GTTAAACACGTGTCACTAAATGCTTTGTTTAAAATCTCATCTGGGCAAAGCCACTTCATACTTGAGGCATAATGTTAGTAGTTAAATGCGCAGCACATTTTATCTTTACCCATCAGAGGATAAACTACATAATTGCCTTTTATGATTCGCAGGAACAGATGTTGTTTCTCTTTTTTGGATAGACGAAACAGCCGTTCATCCGCATGTTTTATGAGTTATGTAGTAATGTCTATCATAAGTTGGTCTTTTCTTGCAAAGCTTTTTGACAGTGCGTCTAGATAGAAGGTTAAATAAACAAACGTCATGCCAGTAACAGGTGTTTCCAAACCTAGAATGAGCTTGTCTGTGTTATGTCAAATTACTTCAGAACCGCTTCGTAAACGGACAAAAGTTTTCGAAACCCTGGTGGCTATCGTACACTTGTCGGACAAACAGTCACAGTTTCTCATGCTACAGCGGCAAAAGTACGTCCCGCACTTTTGTCAAATTAATGTGTCGCAATTTGGCGGAGTCGGTAAAGAAGAATTGTTTGACCTTAAGCGAAACATTTAAAGAGGACCCAAACGTAGCAGCAGTCCAAAATATTTTACTTAAGACCTGTTTCTAAGACGGTTTTGCCACCAATTTTTCTCTATCTGGATTTCCATACTACTTGTCTTTTATCTCATATCCTAAATAGTAGATTTAAAAAGTTGTGGGTAAGAATAAAAGCTAATTCCGAATTGAAGCAGGATTGAAAACACAGCGCACACAATTGCAATAATGAAGATTGCATTTATGACAAAGAATCAGGTCAAATACGCACCATGATGATAAAAGTGAGTGAGGGGGACAGCTCTGGACGAATATAATCGGGAAATAATTTCGAGCGTTTGTATTGATCGCGCAAGCTGGGAGTTACCGTTGTCCAAGTTTTCTGAGTTCACAACTTTGGAGGCAAATCTAACTGAAAAAGTTATTAAACACAGACGCAATTATCACATACAGTGAGCCACTTGGATGAAAGAGATGCATTACCAAACTGCCTTCCTTCCATTCTAGCAGATTATTTGCCCACTTGTCCTATTTTCAGACAGTTATTTTGCGTTTACTTAGTCTGCGCTATTTTATATTATTAGTCGGGGCAGAAATAAATAGACGACCTTCATTAAGCTAGGATGATCGCGCTCGTCGTTGTAGCTAAAGCCACAGGCAGACCCTGGCCACCACGATCTTCAGACCCAGTCCCAAATGGAAGGAAAAAGAATTGGACATCAGCTGAGAGGATACTGTATTGATCAGAAGAAGAAGCGATCGCTGGAGAAGGAATTGGAGAAGAAGAAGGATTGGAGAACGGATGTGTGTAAGTTGACAAACAGACGAGAGAACACGTCTGGCGCCACGAGAGATGGGGCCCAGTTGGCGGTGGGGAATGCGTTACAGCGGGTTGAGCGAGGGCTCGTTTTAGTCAGCCTTGAATGAGATTGGCCAGTTTGGACAGCCGTGGTTGACCGAGTATCAGAGGTCGCTGGTGTGCTCGTGCAAGTACCCGCAAGAGGCGCAGTGTTGGAATAGGCGCCCCGAGTAAGGTTAGCGTAAGTGCTCACTTCCAAAGCGGGCTTGGGCTGGATAATTCGAGCGGGGGAAGAATGAGGAACGTACCAATGGCAGTGTTTTCGGCAGTGTGCGTTGCGGCGACTGACAGGGAGGAGTCAGGATAATAGGAGTGGCTGGGGAAAGCTGGTGGGTGGTTTGTTGATTTGAGCGTCGGGCATATCCATTTGCCAGGCTGATATTAACTGGTTTAAGTGAAGAGATACCACCGGTAATGTCGGTTACTGGGAAGGACGTCCAGGTGCTGGGACTAATGGATGGACTGCACTGATGGATAGGACTATAACCATGGCGTAGAATCGATAGACTAAGGTTTTTGATGAAATTCAGCTCAACTCATGATAAGTTGTCAGCAACAGCATATTCCTATCGACGAACACAGGTGAAGCACTTCAATGATGTCGAACGGGAATTTCATGATGATAGAGCTCATCTACTTCTGGCGGTTGTATTTCGTTCATGTCGGGTCCACCAACCGTCAAAATGGGAAGTAGGTACGAGAGTTCTACTACTTACTATGGTTTGTCGGATTTTAGATAAGATCAGATTTCGTTAAGACCGAACAGGTGTCTAAAGCGCTTTTAAATCGCGAGGGGTGATTTCGATATTTCAAATCGACCTAATAAAACTACTGGATGTATTGCAAAATGTGAAAAATAACGAGTCCGGGTCAGAGCACGTTTGCATTAAGAAAAGTGGTAAAGTCTTATCTCAGTGCACTCAGTGAGACCTTGAGGACGACAAGGTCAAACTTTACTGTTCGGCCTTTTTTCGGTATTGGCTTATAAAGAGATTTGTGTAACACGACAGCCAGATATATGTAGCAAGTTTTCGTTGCGGGCTCTCTGTTCGTCTAAAATCATGCCGGCTATCTAAACATTAATGGGCAAACACGGATCTACTAACTTCCCGAACAGACAAGCCTCGCATGGGCGACGGCGGCCCTGAACAGGAGACCATCTGACAGCCCGGAGTTGGACAGGTTATGACAACAGAGAGCGCGGGTAGGCTGACATAGCTTTGTTTCGGGGTTATCCTCCCACTGACACTATTCATCTCCATGACAGTATACACTTGTTATCTAATCTCATAGTGCATGATGTAAACGTCGCAATACTGGAGTTCGAAAATATAACCGGAGTGGATGCTGTTGTCATTAATTCCACCTACCCAATAACGGTTCATCGGGTAAAAAAGCCCGCAAAATCCACCAAAATACGTGAGTACTTAATCTTGTGTTTACATGATTAAAATCTCCCCTTTGTTTTATTTCCTCAACAACTACTTACAATTGGTTCCGTATTGGTTAATTTTGTGTTTATTAATAATGATAAGCCGAAAGATTCAACCAGATTACAAGGTAAAATTTTCGCACAGAACGGTTCCAATGTAAGATGAATGTGGAAAGTGGTGTTACCACGTACACAAATGAGCCGTGTCGTCAATATTTGTGAAATGGGACCACCGAAAAGTTATGTTTGAATTAATTAGGCCCAAATTCCCTGACTTGACACATGAATAAGGCAAACCTGAACTCACTGATTTCCCTTCTCTTTAAAAGCTCGCTTCCATCTTGTGGAGTCAACGGAATTCAACTACTGCCCAAAATGGGACCAGCTGAACTTAACCTAGATCCTGATTGGGGATCTTCCTTCGACACAACCTGTAGGTTTGAAGGAAATTTGTCTAACACGACATTCCTTGAACATTACAGCTGACATGTTTTCAGAATATGACACAACTTTGCCAAGGAACTACCACCAACGTGAGCGAAGGATCGGAAAAATGTGGTAAGTGAAACTTTCGCCGGAATCATCGCTCAGTTTGGAGCAGTGTTAAGTTGCAAACGTAGATTAGAGCTATTTTTATTCACCATTACACTGTCTGCACACATCATTTGTCCTATGGCGTATTCTGCGCAACAGGTAGTTCCCCAACGCCGACTAACGTCGATTCTGACCCCCGCTTCACGGTGGCCTGAGTCCCCCCACCCTCGCTAATTGTGACTAAAGTTGTCGGACAGATTGACTCATGCCGTCACTGTTTCACTTCAAGAAGACACGTAAAACTGGAGGGTAGCTTTATATGGCGGTTAACTGAGCATTCGATAGAGATCCTTGTTTTCCACACGTACATTGATGTGCGATCATCGCGGAGGCCTACAATCTCCAAAGTTGAATTAGTGTCCCATCTGAACGGCAGACTTTGCTACATTTGACTGTTGGCAGAAAATGGCCGCATTGTCCTGATTGGGGATGAGATTTCTCGGTAACATCACTTGTTGAGTCCAGCCTATGTGAAGCTTTGATTTCGACTGACGCGAGGATTGATAAAGAGCATTATCTTTTTGAACAGCCGTGTTTGAGAGTTTAATACGGTAAGCAAGTAAACAAGTACGTACAGTGATAAACTTGTGTCGAAAGGAGTAATGAACGAGAGCTTGGAGGCCAGCATATTGACGTCGTCAGTGCATGAGGAGGCAGCGAGATATGAAGACAGTCGTCGCAAGTTGGCCATCCATTTTCGAAAGACGAGAACATCGGAGAGCGGAAACCTGTCCGCCACTTTACATTTCATCTTGAACTGCAGATGGAGGTTAATGGAGTTTGATCGTTCATTGTAGTATTAAATTATTTTCAGGTCAACGCCAAGGAAGGTGTCGTCAATGTAGTTTGCTGAAAATTTGGGTTTTTTACTTCGCAAACAGCTGTGTTTGGAATTTTTAGGGAATAGCCCCGGAAGTTACCCCTGCGATTGGCGAACCCATCGATGTGTCCTTTGATTCACCTGGGTAGGATACCTTCGAAAGAAAAGAATGTCCTGAGGCAAATCAGTTTACTTATTATAGTCAACCAACACTATGACAACTCTTATGTATTTCATATACTGTCAAAAAATTGTGCCACCGACAAGGCAGACATGCTTTTTAATAGTCGTACTAACAGGCGAACACTTCCAAATGATAAAAACATACGCATCAACGCTGTTTCTTTTACACATTCCTGACAGTAGTCTCGGAGGTCTCAGGACGAGTGAATTTCATGCTGACAGTTTCAAGACAGAATGCAACCGGACTGTCATTTTACTACTGCCAACTGAATGCAACATTGGGAGAGATCGTGACCTACGTGGTGGACTGGAGAGGTTTGTCTGCTAACAATTGGCCTCTACTTATTCATTACGATATTCAACCTCACTCTAAATTGCTCACATTTTACAGCTGTACTTGGTGTAATTGGGCGTATTTAGATATATTCGCGGTGAAGTCCGTCAAGTCATTTGTCGCGGGAATAACTGCATTTCATACTTTGTTTCTGGCAGTGCATTAGTGAACCTGGGAATACGAAAGCATGAACATGTGGAAGTATTGCATAAGTACAATGCACAAAGTGACTGCTTACACAGAATGCTATGGCGCGTTTGAGAAAATGTGGCAGCGTACAAATTCGCAGTTGCGAAATAGTTATTGCTTATTCAACAATTCCTCCATTCCAATGCGCATCCAAGCATGGACGCTGATGGTACTTAGGTAGGCGCGTAGTGGTTGTGTATTCCACTCAGCTGCAGAATAAGTCTGTTATTTATACCCAGAGAACAGAATCAAATCCTAATTTATGCTCTCAAACAAATGGGACAACTTAAATATGGTTTATATGCTCATTACATTGATAGTAGTGGCCTAATATCTGATTAACAATGGTATACGTGGGTCTCTTTAAGAATATTTTCTATTGTCTGCGAAAATCACAATCAAAACAACGGCATATTGCAGTATTTGACTATGTGATACACAACAATGCACGCAGGTAGTGTGGGCAATTTATGTGTCGTCTGACAAGTGCTCAGTATGACTTGCACCGAATACGACGTTCTATCTGCATCCCGAAGACTGCGTATCTTGTTGTTAACACTACTGAAAGCCTCACAGTCGAGGGACACTAATTAAAAGAAAACATGTGGCGGCATCAAAAAAAACGAATGTGAATGTTATTTGCAATTAAATACACGTACTACTGAGGCAAATATTACGAAAGCGCAATTTCTAGTGAACAGTCTGGCCATATAGAATAAACGCCAAATTACAAAATATTTGATAAGGATGTATAGCACGAGGCTGCACAGCACAGTGTATAGAGTACCTTAAAACTCCACTCCAAATCCATCAATCTCCTAGTAGTACTGTGATGATATTTCCGACCTGGAAACATGTTTTCTGACTGGAATCAAGCCAACTCGGGTACACTGTGCAAATTTAAATGGTGACGTCCATTTAACCAAGTAAATAATACTCTCCGTCAAAGATATCTTTGACGCTTTCATAAACGCCAACACTAACGGCTGTTATTGTTTGTGGATTCAATGCAAACAACCGACCTAAATTCATACGTTTGCTACCGTCGTCCAAGGTTACTCTTTTCCTCTGAAATGACCAATAAAAATCAGACCACTGCATACAAACTGCAGGTCCGACTAGCATTTCGACAAAAATCAGATTTTGTGTTTAAAACAGGTGGCATTGCCACTAAAACTAGGTCTTTTCTTTCACTCGCAAGGTTCCAGTCCTTTACCGGCAGGTTGCATTCCACCAGCAACCCCTCCAACGTCTCTGCCACTTCTGACCTGCAAAGGAAGGCAGAAATGCCGTAGAACAGTCTAAACCACAACTCTCCCTACAGCTGAAAGTGGTCCTCTGGAATGCCTTTTTATCTAAGAAATTTCTGTTGTTTAGATTGCAAGCGGAACTTCGCTGAGTATCGGAAATTTCAGATTTCAAGAAATATATGTATCAGTTAAGATGAACCTTTTGTTCGAAATATAGAAGGGCTTAAATGGATGTGGTGAACATCACTTACTCTACTGACACCTCGACGAGGGACATTTTGAAGAGCTTTTTCCCTTGCAGTCACGTGCACAGAACAATAACTTAGTAGCGGATAATCTCATGGAGGAAGTTCACTTCATTAGTACTACAGCAAATGTTGATCTGTTGGATATAAATCTTTATCTTCTTGAGCCAGTGAGTGATTGAGACATTTAAAGCCTCTCAAATGTCCTTAGAAATATGGGCCAAATTTAGGGGAAGAAGGCCGTTCATACAATCACCTTGTGTACTCTGGCCATTTCACATTCATCAGTTGTAAAACCTACTTCAGACTACCAAACAAGGATTAAAGGTATTACTATTGACGCCTAAAGTTATCAATTTGGAGAAATAGTGTGCGACAGACAGGTAGTGGTCTAAAAGACGTAAAACGTATAAACATCAATGCGTGCTTAGTTGATGCAAATGAGAGGATTATATGGGATCTTAATAACTGTTTAGATGAAATCTAATGAGAAATATATAATGCACTAACTTGCCAGTGCAAAATGCCGAAAGCACTGAAATATGCATCAAATGTATAAAATTAATTTTGGGGAAACATGACGCCCGACCATGTAAATAACAGAATAAATAAAGCGACATAAGACTAGTAATGTTTGAAAACTTATTTCATAGAGTTGTGCACATTCCTGTGGTAGGACTCGGAAGACAAGTTGGTGAGCATATGCTTGGGTCTGATACATTCTCATCAGACCAACGCATGTGTATATGTAACAGCAGGGTCAAGTAAAATCAATGAGTGGTGAGATACGTCAAGTAACGTTAGTCAAGTCACACAAGCAGGGGTGGCGAAGGGGTTAGGAAGAGCCGTGTCAGCGTTGGGAGGAGGAAGGAGGGCGCGGAGACTTGCATGCAGTGAAGGGACCTTTGGCTAGGGTAAATGCGGAGCTCGAATGATGTCCTTCTGTGTATATACAAGGCGTAGCCTTGCGGCAGTCAGTTCTGCTTTCGTTAGCAATGGTGAAACAGTGACGTGGGGTACTTTGGCTGGACCTTATAAATCACATGGAAGATTTCGTTGGGGCTAACACCATGTCAGCAATCAAAGATACCTACGAGAATGGCACTGGCGGAAGGAGTTTCCGTAATCTTTCATATGGGCGTCGACTCATGCGACCGATATGGCCAGCTCTACAGAAGCAAGTAACAGAGTAAATGCATATGTAGGTGGTTTGAGCTGACAACTCATTCCCGTGTTCTCTGTGTGAAGCTGGCTTGGTCAATAAGTAACGTCCGAAAAGTTTATGATACATACATCTTGGCTAACCTAACATCTCAGGAGTTCCCTCGCCGCGCCCCCTTGAATTGAGACATTCAGAAGCAGAGTTTACTTTTCCGCTGGCATTGTGGTGGATTTTGCTGGTCTTTCGATAATATTCTTTATAATAAATCTGCCCGATCACCGTCCTCGTGAAGGCAACCCCTAGATCTTTCTATGCTCCCTGTCATTGCTGTCTGGCAAGCACATTCCTTTTGCCCTTTGCATCAAACGACGGATTACGATTTGAAAAGTCAAATTGGCGAACACGTGTTTTCAGTAACTCTTCATCAGGCTAAAACGGTTACAATGAAATTTAAGTTATGCGAATTACATGACTTATAAATGATTCGGGGACAATTAACATCGATCGTTCCCACGCCACTCGCATGACGAGGCGTGCTATGGCGTGGTCGGCGTGTCGTGGTCATTGGGTTCAGGGGGCGAGGAAGAGGGGGGGGCATAGGCTGTGAGTACGTCGGGTACCTTGTGCACACACCCTGGCATCAGGAGGTTGGGGCGACGTTGGGGTCGGCGTCGGCCACGGAAGACAGAGCGATTACGATTTGTTTCTGTTGATGAGGGACGAGATGACTGAAGCAGTTTTATAGGCAAGAACCAGTTTTTCTCCGATTGACACTCCTTTGAACATAAAAGAAGGAGCTCGAACCTGCTGTTCCCACTCTTGCGTAAAGCATGGTCAACAAACGTGCCTGCTGTACAACATCTAGGATGGCAGTTGCGTTAGTTTCTCTAATGGTACTTGAGACGTTATCATCAATATGGCGAGCATTACGTCATAGGCTATTGATTTGGTAGTTTGGGCGAAATTTCTACAGTTTACCCTTGAAGATATTGACAGTTCTGATATGATTACATGGCATTCCGTCTATTCGCCTACATAGATGGTTGTCAAAATATAAAATACACATTTAATTCACCTCTTCTTATCCTGCCTTACCTTTCCTGCGCAGAACGAATGTCAATTTTTCAGTTGAACGACATTTGGTTTGGCAAACTTTTGCGGTTTATATTGCTGCCCAGCATAACTGTGCTTTTCATTTATGGCTATGTTTTTTCGACAGGCAGGAGAATGTCAAAGGCATAATAAATAGGACATTTGTATTAATGTTCACTCATGCTCACTAACAACAAGGCTCTTGAGACTTACACTGCAAGTGTAATGACGCGAGGTATATTATCAGAAAATGCATGAAGAAGTGAGTGAAATTTCAATAAATGATGGCCTCAAATGACAACAGGTCTTACTTTTGGCGCACGGGTGAATTTTCATGTCGAAAACAATAAATGCCTCACATATGCGAACGGCGGCCAATCAGAGTTTGCGGAAACTATTATTCAAGAGCAAAAATACGACAGAGTGTTCGTAGATTGTTAATCCTCCTGTGATGTAGAGACCCGAGGCAATTTACCGTAGAGCAATGCGAGTTTTAAATGCATTTGGAAAGGATCTGACATAATGCACAGGGGAACTGACGAATGAATTCCAGACTAACGGAAAATAAAATAGATCAGCCTTGGACGAAGAAGACAAACCGAATAAGTCATAAGGCATAAAAATTGCGTCTAACCCTCCAAAGCTTGCACAATCTACACAATAAAGGAGGAATTATTGGATTGCACAATCTAGACCTAGATATCGTCTGGAGGGAATAACCCGGAAATCAGCCAAAATACCTTGAATTTCTCACCCAAAAGAGCACATTTTGCTGAATTAATAAACAAGAGAAAATCACTGTACATGAATTTGGATACTTATGGGTAAACGAATGGGTTTAACTTCGTAAAAGCCTATTTAAAGGCTCTAACTCTTAGCTTGGCCACCGCAATATAAAAAGGCTTAGTAAACTACGTTGACTTAGCGTTAAGGATCTAGTTTGCGCTTGAAATGTGAATCGACTTATTGAGTACGGGCAAAACCAGCTGTTCAAATGATATCCGATTTCAGTCAGATGTAGTTACGTAGCCACACCTGAGATAAACCAACCCCCAGCAACCTCAAATACGGGACCGTTAGTAATAGGGGTTTTGTTCGTGGAACCGAATAACGCACAGGCGATCACGTCAAATAGTTAGATGCAAAAGAAAAGCAATTGAGAGTGCGTGGTTGTACCTTCAGTGGTTGAGAAATAGTTACGCTAACCCCTTACCCTGCCCCCTATCCATAACGCCTAACCATAACCCCTGACCCTAGCCCCTAATACTACCTCCTAAACCTAACTCCAACAGTATTGTGTCCATCTGGTTGGGCTTTCAAACCACATCTTATCCAAAAAGTATTAAGATTCCTGTTACTGACAGTTTTCTAGGGCTTACCACGTGGCAACTTAGTCGACTGAATCATTTTATCGGCAAACCAAGCAAAGGGCTGATTTTTCATTGAATCACTTAAAAATAAACAGAAAGCTTGGGTTGGATCAAATCAGTCTATGTCGTTGAGTTAAGGCCTCGTCACTATGCTGTTGTTTGAGAGAGGCGGTGGCACGCCCATGGGCAGGCTTTGGCTGTTGTATAAAATCCTGGTGATTGTTCGTTGTGGACCAGGGAATGTGGTGGTAAATCTGGGCGCAGGTTTTTGTCGTTTCAGCCACCTGAGCACTCATTCGGCCTTTTTGACGACGCCGTCTTGACAGTGGGTCGAAGTGGGATAGACGGCGACCGTGCGTTAGACGTACCGCAAGTCTAGAGTCAGTATAGATCAATCCACTCACCGTTCACCCTGCCTTTGCAACACACGGTGGATATCTTTGGTCCCGACGACTGAACTGTTGTGCAAAACTAGGTTTTTCCACGTCAACTAATTACTGTCAGGTGGTTTGTTTTTTTAGCCACTTTATTCTGCTTCGGTACAGTAGTCTGGCTGATCGGTGGAAAATCGCAGTAAACACCACCCCGGTTATATTTGAGATTAATTCTACCCAGACAACCTGTGCAAGAAGCGATAAACAACATACAGGTAACGCATCTATGCCAGTGGCGGAGAAGTGCATCCGTACTGGAGAGGGCAAATGTGTTTGCATCGCATGGTTATCGTTAGATGCTTTCTGTGAGAAATGCAAGTGCCCTTCATCTACTAAACAGCTCATTCTGTTCGTCTACTGTGGCGGAGATATAAAAGCTGCTCAAAGTCTTAAACGCAGATTCTTCATTCAAACGGAATGCGTTACTTCTTTATTTCTGAAATTTTACTCGTGATAGTTCTCCTTCTATCGCAAAAAAGGTGGGTTATTTTCCTCCTTTTCTTCTTCTTTAACTTGTTTAATATTACTATTATGAAAGAAACCCTGGCACATCTTTGTTAAAACTGAACTTTTTCCAAGTAAAACATACCCTAATGCTGCAATTAGGCTAAACAGTTATCGACAGTTATCAGAACACATGTAAAAATGCCCAAAAAATTTATACATATAGAATTTATTGTCAGATTATGATGTCTACGCAAAATTCAATAGGGCTGAATGATATGTTTGTTTAAAATAAAGGTCTTTAGCAGATTCTTTTCAGGCTTTTTAGTAGATCCGGCCTTAAGGAGATGGCTTTCATAAACCGAATGATAATTTTAAAACCGGGAGATTCTACTCCAAGATTATGAGGTGAACTTTATTCAAAATTACAGCCTGCATATTTCATAGAATTTGGTCATTTGACAAAAATTTCAAGCATGCTTGCACGATTTTGAACAGAGTATGCATTTTGCACTCGGTTAGCTATAAGTCTGGAGATATTTCATGAAAGTGCCATTAATTAAATTTCGGCATACATACATATCCTAGCCAAAATTATGGACAAAGTAGGTTTCATAAGAACGGCACATGTCGAGTGTATGCTTGAATGGACTGAGTGTTGGCATGCTCTGGTAATCGCAGTTTTCAGAAAAATAAAGTAAACCTAAAAACATCTTGCTTCAAAGACATCCAATCGCGCTAAGTAGAGCCTTTTGCTGCTTACAAAATCCAGTCCTACTAGGCAAAGTGTTGCCGAAGAGTTATTGGAAATATTCTTGATGTAGAAAACTTATTTCTTATTATTGTACACAGTGTTTTCGCCTGTTTCAAGACTTTAAACGCCATAGTTAATATTTGCTATCGCAATCAACGTGGCACTGGGCCCGCGGCTGAACTTTAGTGCGGTGGACCGTTTAATAAATTAAAGAATCCGCGATCTAATCTAAAGGCCCTGCAAACCGGAAACTGGGTGAAGCCATTTGCCCGCAGCTGATGGACCAAAAATGGCCATCTCGGTCTCTCTTACCTTTGTCAATTTTCCTTCTCAAATAGTATTTCACCGATTTTTTGAAAAATCCATTGCATTTAGCATCCTGTTGCTCTAGGGACAGCCCTTATTCCGAGTTAATTACTGAACTCTGCAAGAATCGAGTACAATACCTCATGAACGGCTTCAATAAATTGTAAATATTAAACGAAACTGCAAGTCATGCCAGCTTCAAAGGATTACCTGATATACACAAATTTTAAACTATGGGCATGACTTTCAGGCATCGCTTTGATCGAGACACAAAGACTCACATACGGCGTATAAATAGCACATCTGTTGCACTCTATGTCTAGCATAATTCAAAAGGTCATGAGAAGAAAGTTAAAATGTTGACTAATATGCTCGTCACATTGCATGATGAAAGGGGGTTCATTTGCAGTTCCTGCTTTGGTCAAGTTTGCAACTTTCAGCCGTAGATACAATCATAATTACGAGGATGAATGTACAAAATTCTGACTTGGAGACGTGTCGCATAAAATTTATTATCGATTGGAAGGAACCAGCCAGCTGAATTTATAATATTTAACATCGTGCAGCAAAATGCCAGAGCATGCCAGTCGCGTCGAGATGCCAGCATTTAAGTGGACTTCATTGAATTCCGAGGTCCCCGTAGCATAAAACGCACTTTATTGACTGGACGCACAAGCATTTCATTACTCATTCTCATGAGACAGCAAATTTTATCTCTGAAAGTAGGTGTGCTTCAGTTTTAAAGACACTTTTCTGTTTAGGGTTTGCGTTTAGGCTTCCTAAATTACAAATTGGCATCTTGGTGGGGTTGTATTATCTTGAGATAGCGTTACAACCCCCCTTACCAATCGTTTCTATTCGAAGATATATTTTTCAATTTTGGTAAATAGTTTATGAAATATTGCAGTTACATAACGTCTTTGCTGCAGATAGGTCACGATACTTGATAATTACTTAATTAGTCTGTCATAATAATTTCGGGATTTTATAGAACGGAATATTTGAGAATTAAGCAGTCATTTTGGAAATGAATGTCGGGAAAGGGAGTTAATACTTATGTTTCATTGCAGTTGGGGGGAAGTTCGCAAGTATGCAAGTGACGGAAAGTAGAACAGCAAAATCCTAAGTTATGTGTTTTGTCCTCTGAACATGTAATACGTCCGGCTTTACGCTCACACTTAAATCGATTCATTTCTTCTGTTTCATCAAAGCCTGTCAAAAAACATTTGCCAATGGAACAGCAGAAAAATAATATCCACAAGCGGCTATTATAAACTTACGACACTAAGTCCTTCTTATTACACGGTAGGTTTTATTTCAAGCATATTGATAATCTTTACACAATGTGTCCTCCAAAAAACACTCAGATATGCAAACTCTAGTGTCATGCTTTATTATCTGTTGTAATATAAATCTACTCCCCACTCAAACAACCTAATCCGGGTTTTTTAATGCATGTTGATAACTTCTAACCTTGTTTATGTGACTGTTTGAATTCTAAATCATGACCGGCATAGGAAATTGCATTACCGACATAGGAAATTGCACATGTGTCAATAGTTGATTTTTTTGAAATCTAATGGTACATTTGCCTCCTGCCAAGGCCTCTTCTTGCATGATTTATAATGTTAGATATTTCTGAGCAGGATACTTTTTCCTAATTCGTCAGAAGTGCGATTCGAATATATTCTTATAGGTCTTACAGGAACAAATGCATTGTTTCTTTTATTACATAGATGTAACAAGGGATTATATGCAGGTTACATGCGTTATCTACTAATATCCGTTATAGGCTGATCCTTTCCTGCGGTGTTTTTTGACTATATTTCTCGCTAAAAGATTGAATATCAAACGCTATTTTGATAACGGTTGCTTCAAAACCAAGAAATAAGTTGTCCGTCTTATTTCAAATTGTTCTAGAAGGGTTTCATAAACGGACAAAAATTCTCAACCTCTTGGTGGAAATTATACACTTGCGAGACAGACAGTCGCAGTTTCCAATGCTACAGCGGCAAAAGTATGTTCTGCACCTTTGTCAGATTACTTTGCCACAATGTGGCAAAATCACTAAAGTACAAGTGTTTTACTGCGGGCGTAACATTTTAACAGCAGCTAAGTATAGCAACAATATCAAATATTTTACTGAAGACTTGTCACTAAAACGCTTTCACCAGCAATTATTCCGAAATTAATTTAAATACCTTCTTGGCTTTTATCTCATACAACGAACGGCGGATTTACCAACTGTGGGCTAGAGTACAAGTAGATTACAAGCGGCTGTGTGGTTGACAATACAGAGTAAATATTTTGAAATAATATCTAGCATTTATGGTAAAAAATCCATTCAAATAAGCGTCTCATTAATGAAGGTGCATGAGAGAGAATGGTCATGGAAGTAAATGAATGAGAAATAATTTCGACCGTTTGCAGCTTTCGCGCGAACTGGAAATTACTGTCTTCCCAGTGTGCTTAGTTTAGAACCTCGGAGGCAAGTATAACCTTAGGAAGTTATATTACTTTTTTCAATTGTGGAAAATCCTACTAACTTTTCGAAAACATCTATCACAAATTTATAGGCAATTATTGGATATAGTGATTTAATTGGCTTAGGGGAATAGATCACTAAGTAATAAAACCAGCTTGCTCAATTTGTAAAGCATCATTTATCTACAGCGGATATCTAACAAATGATTAATAATTGTTTTGTCTAATGGCAAGTAAAGTCATATTTTCAGAAAGGAATATTGCGTCCATCTAATCGGCATTATGTTATATTACTAACTTGGGTAAAAGTAAGTGGATGACCTTCACCAAGTATGCCGTTGTAATTGGGATGGTTTCGTTTGTGGCTACACATAAAGCAATAAGAAGACGCTGGCCACTATGCTACTCAGGACCGGTTCCGGACAGGAAGAGATGGATTTGGACGCCAGCTAATAGGATACTGTATTCTATGAAGAAGGATTGAAGAGCCCGCCGGAGAAAGCTGGGCAACGGAAGAGAGAACATGTCTGGCGCCGCGAGAGGTGCGGCCCCGTTGGCGGTGGGAAATGCGTTACAGCGGGTTGAGCGAGGGCTCGTCTTAGTCAGCCTTGAATGAGATTGGCCGGTTTGGACAGCCGTGGTTGACCGTGGCCCAGACTACCGCTGATGCGCTCGTGCAAGTACCCGCAAGAGGCGCAGTGTTCCAATAGGCGCCCGGAGTGATGTAGTGGGGAGGAATGAGGAACGTATCAATGGCAGTGTTGGCGGCAGTGTGAGTGGCGGCGACTGACAGGAAGGAGTCAGGATAATAGGAGTGGCTGGGGAATGCTGATGGTGTGTTTGTTGATTTGATCGTCGGGCATATCCATTTGCCAGGCTGATATTTACTGGTTTAAGTGAAGAGATACCACCGGTGATATCTATTACTGGGAAGGACGTCCAGGTGCTGGGACTAATGGAAGGACTGCATTAATGGATAGGACTAGAACCAGGGCGTAGAATCGATAGACTAAGGTTTTTTGATGAAATTCATTTCAACTCATGATAAGTTGTCAGCAACAGCATATTCCTATCGACAGACACAAGGGAGGCACTTAAATGATGCCGAAAGGGAATTTTATAATGATAGAGCTCATCTACTTCTGGCGGTTGTATTTCATTCATGTCGGGTCTGCCAACTGTCAAAATGGAAAGTAGGCACGAGAGTTCCGAAGAGACAGCTTGCGGCAACTGCTGGCTTACCCTCCTTTACGCTCGCCAAAATCATTAAAATTTGTCCAGCATAAGTTCTCTTCCCTGAAGGGTGATTTGGGAATCTTCGTGTTATCACCCACTGGTAACGTTCGCTTTTGCACTTCATCTCGACATGCTTATGTTTCAGTGTATTTTAAACAGACTCTTTTACGCAGACGTTTCACAGTATACTTTACCTTCTGTCACTCTGATAAGTCCCTTGGCTTTTCATAGCACGATTTAAAATGAGGTACAGTCAGTTCTTTTTGTTTCCCTGACGTCCTACTACTTACTATGGTTTGTCGGATTTTAGATGTGATCGGATTTCGTTTGGACCGAACAGGCGTCTAAAGCGCTTTTAAATTGCGAGGGGTGATTCCGATATTTCAAACCGACCTTATAAAACTACTTAACGCATAGCAAAATGTGAAAAATAACGAGTCCGGGCCACAGTAAGTTTGTATTTAGAAAAGTGGTAAAGTTTTATTGAAGATGAAGACACGATCGCTGGGACAAGAGCTTTAGTAACCTGACGGTTCGGATTCCTGCTCGAAGCCATCATCAGAGACAAAAGCAGATAAGGGTGGTTCATGCATAAGGGGCTGCAGTATTTATAGGATGCAGTAGTCATGCCGCCGCATGCCTATGACTACTCACGGCTTCCTTCCCTTCATCAGGGATCGTTGCACGTGGCGTGGCGGCCGACATTCGCGTCGTTAATTGCTGCAATTTCATCACGAGCGTTGGATGTTGGTGTGATTACTGCTCGACCATTTGATGCACTGACCGGGGTGTTGGGAAGAGTCTTCACCTGTGCGCTCCCCGCGTGGCCGATTACTTTGCCTAGGCGAAGTCTTAGCACCGAGTATGGAATGGGGGCCAGTAAACCATGACTTAATAATCTCCCGGCTCACGCGGTTGTCACCTCTTGCGAGAATTTCGGCCTCGTCGAATTTGAATGTGTGTCCGGATCTTGTCGAATGAGCCGCAACTTGAGAGCTGACCTCATTTCTCCGCACCGCTGCAGCGTATTCGGCCATTCGCGTTTGGAGTTTTCTTCCGGTTTCTCCGACGTAGCCTCCAGATTAAGCTTAGCATAAGTGCTCCCTCTCAACTGAACGCAGGAGGAACAAGGTGCTTATTAATGGCAATGTTGTCGGCAGTGTGGACGACTATAGTTGGCAGAAGAGAGTCAGGATAACAGGGAGGTTGGGGGAAAGCCGGTGGTTGATTTGTTGATTTGAACGCCGACGGCATATCCGTTTGCTGTGTTGGTATTTGTTAGCTTGAGTAAGGGGACACCACTGTTCATACCGGACACTGGGAGGGACATCCAGGTGCCGGGACTAATGGATGGACTACTCCGATTGACTGGATAGAAACCATGTCGTTAGCTTTACGACCTGCGGTTGTTCGATTAGTCCCATTTCACCATATTTTAAATAGGCTGCTTTGAATTTTACCTTCCTGCTATTTTCATGAGGTCTCGACGGTTTTTCATGGTTTCTCGACGTCAAAAAATGCATAACTCTGAATTTTACATTTACTGTTGCATAATCAATGCGCAAAATAATGGCAGATGAGTCGTCCTTAGAAAAGTCCTGTGCTAAGCATGGACATTAGAAACTACTTACAGGTTAGCGTTCTCGGATCTCTTCAAACGTTTAACATATGCTATGAAGGTGCCCGATTACATAAGGAACATAGAATTCTTCGTTCAGTTGAGGATGTATTTATGAAACAAGAGTTCACACAAAATTAACGAATTTCTAAGAAACTGAAAAATAATGTTATGATCTATCATTGGCTGTCAAATTTCACATGAGATAGGATTTCGTTAAGACTGAATAGGCGTATAAAGCGCATCTCAAATGCAAGTGTTGATTCCGATACTTCAATCGGACATTAAAGACACTTGATTTAGCGAAATGCGGGAGCTGTAGATTCCGGAGCAGAACATGTTCGCATTTACAAAAGTGGTAACGTTGAATTTCATGGCATGCAGTGCGGTCTCAAAAAAGTCGATTTAATTTGCACAAACGTTACATCGGGTGAGTTTAAAAATAAATTGGAACAATTCAGCAGCCAGGCATATGTGGCATATTTTAATTGTTCGCGGGCCTTAAGGATTCTGTGCGTGTTTTGTACCATGATTCAGCAGACCATGGCCCTCGCAGCCTGGTGGGCGCGGGCAGTTCTCTGGAGCCAGGTTTCCGGCCGGTAGATGCGCTTTCGCTCCCGCTGTGTATACAGGTCGCGTGTACGACTGCCCAGCCGTCCCACTCTTTCTGTTCTCATTGATTTTAATTAAAAACCATGGCCAAATATTTGTTATGGGCCAGGGAATGTGGAGTTGTACGCCTAGACACACGCTCGACCGCGCTACTCACTTGCGTCCTACCCCCAGACGGTGACATATGCCATCCTGTATTGCCGACGGTTTTGCCAAAAATTTTAGATCAGGGTTGGTTTAAGTTTACTGAAAGGCTGCTATGCTGTGATTCAGCAAACCATGATCCTCGCAGCCAGGCGTGCGCTGGCAGTTCTCCCGCACCTTGTTCCCTGCCGAGAAATTCGCTTGCGGTCCCGCTGCGTACACAGATAGTGCGCACGGTTGAACAGTGACTTGCGTTATCCTTCCCCTTCTGACTCCATTTTGTTGCCGGTTAAAATGCTGGTCAAGTGTTTGATGTAGACATGGAGGTATGGTGGTACGCTTACGTGCGGGACCGGGAGTGCCGGCCACCTGCGCCCTCTCCCGCCTTCGGTCTTCTTAACTACGTCCGGACACTAAGCTCAGACGCGAGAGGAGGAGGGAGTGCGGCAGATTTTAAGCAAGCATACTATTACTATAAACTGATTCAAGTACAAGCCATTGTGCTTACTCTCACCTTGCTGTAGCGCACATGGTGGACATCATCGGTGGACAACAGTCGAACTGCCAATTGTTTGCCCTCTGTATATACTAAACATATCGTTTATCCAAACTGGCTATTCGAGGCAAACAAGCTTCGAATAGGTGATGGAGTCCGCGAACAGGCGACCATCTGTCAGGACAGGCTATGAGGACAAGGAACGCGGGTAGACTGACGCAGTATTGTTTCGGGTTTATTCTCCCTCTGACATCATTTATCGCCGCGTTCGTATAAAACTTTCATTTAATCTCACAGCACACGGCTTGGATGTCACAACACTGGAGTTTGAGAATATAACCGGAGTGGATACCGTTGTCATTAATTCCACCTACCCGATTACGGTTCATCGGGTAAAAAAGCCCGCGAAATCCACCAAAATACGTAAGTATTTAACTTTGTGTTTACCTGGATAAAATCTATCCTTTCTTTCAATTGTCAAACAGATTCTGAAAAGCAATTTGAGCTTAGTTAAGTTAGGCTTATTTAAATGATGAGCCAATGCAAACATCCGGCAAAAGGCATTGTTTTAATGAATAGCCCTTAGACATTTCACGCAAAATGGTATGTTAGGGGAGAAAAGTACCAAATGTAATCCACTTATAAACGGAAATAAGCCAAGTCATTAATATTTGTGATGTGACCACAGATCAAGTTACACATAAATAAGGCAAACCTGAACTCACTGACTTCCCTTCTCTCTAAAAGCTCGCTTCCATCTTATGGAGTCAACAGAATTCAACTACTGCCCGAAATGGGACCAGCTGAATCTAACATGGACCCTGATTGGAGATGTTACTTCGACGCAACCTGTAGGTTTGAAGGAAATTTTTCTAACACAATGGCCTTTAACCTCTACAGCTGACGTGTTTTGCAAATAAGACAAAACTTTGTGAAGGAACCACCACGGAGATGAGTGAGAAATCAGGAAAGTGTGGTAAGTCAAAATTTAATTGCGGTCGATTCTCGAATCTCGGTCTCAGTTGCACATGTCCCCTTATAAACAGTCTGACGCTCTCTGAAACTATCATGACACGATAAATGACATAGCATGGAAGACTAGAAACCGACTGGATACCAATCGGCAAAGGCTCCCTCCGAATGTTGCCTCTTCGGCACTCTCACTTAAGTTAAATTGGAACAACTTCTCTCTTGTTTCTGCTAAACCGTTGCCCATCGTGTTCGGACTGGATCATATGTGGCGCGTCTAGATGAGTCGTTTAATTCTTATTCAAGCACCGTGTTCGATCATCCTGCCTCTGTACCAGAGGTAGGAGGAAGGAGAGATTGGAGTAGGTGCCGCATCAGACGGTTATCACTAAAAGTCACTTCATGCTTGAGCAACCCTCCCTGGGTCCTGTACGCTGTAGGGGACATAATGAACATCGCCGTCCTCGACGGACGAAATGGCGTCTCAACTTGGCGCGGAAATTATAGTGAACAAAAACGGCACCCAAAACGCACTGGGTGAGTATAAAGTCATTTAAAAACAATGTGAGCCATATTTGTAAGTGCCTGCGGCACCAGTATCTCCAAGCCGAAAATATCTGAAACGTCGAAATTCATCAGAATGAATGCTGCAAATTACGCATAAGGCAAGATATTTAAGAGAAACTCTCTCTTTCACCTATTGCACTCAAGCTGAGTATCTATGGGAAACCCGAAACATCATTGCCCCATGAATGGAAAATGCATAACGTTAAAGACGTCGAGAAGGTCACTCATCAATTTCCGTTATCATGTTCCATGAGGTAGTTCACATACTATACGCCTGTTCAATCTGGGACATTTTCGGTGACGAGAAGAGATAGTCACGTCTTGGAAAGTTAATAATTTTCAAGTAGATCACTTGACAACAAAAATGCTCATGTGCAAATTTAAATTTTGTCTTACTAATGAGAAATGACTTCTTGGGCCGCAAAATGAGGAAGTTTATCAATGCGAAGAAGGGTTCGAAGACGTCTTTTGATTTTGTCAACCATCGCGGAAGAAAATTAGATAGAACTTTGTAAACGAAAAGATGCTAAAGTACTCATCAGCAGCGAATGAGCTCTGTGTCCTTTCAAATAACACCAGTAAAAATTCGCGAATAATCATTCTTGATAAGCAGTCAACTTGGTGCTTAAAATCGATTAATCTTACTAAGGATGCTTGAAGTTCCCGTAATCCAAGACAGGTATTTACGCACGGTGATAAGTAAATCTAAAGACTAACTGAATGATACGAAAGACGCCAAAACAGGTTAAAAAACCGATATTAAACAAACTGAAGCAATATCGTCTGAATCGTCACTCAAGTGACAAAGCAACGATTGGTTAAGTTAAATGAAACACGAACATCGCAAAACTAATATGCCTTTCTTTATAAACTGATACTAACACTGCCCATGCAGACCACAGACGTTACAGAAACATACGAAGATACGATTCTCGACTAGGCTGTTTAAAGAGGAGTGGAAGTCCACCGGTAGAGATTTATTTGCCATTTGACGCGTCGAGTAGTCGTCTAGACTAATTGTCTTCAGAGACTGTAGAGCTCTGAGCACACCCCTCGTTATACGGCGTATTTTGTGCTGCACGTATATTGCCAACGTCGACTGATGCTGAATCAGACCATTATTTCACCGTGATCTGTGTCGTCCCCAACTTCACTGACTGTCGCTAAAATTGTCAGCCCCGATGGTCTCAAGCCATCCCTGTCTCACTTCGATAAGATCCGTTAAATCAGAAGGCCAATTTGCATGGCTCTTGGCTGAACAGCTACACTTTCGTTTGATTGTCGCTTATACCTATGGTCTTAACGACCTTGAAGTTGAAGTTGTGCCCCATCTGAACGGCAGGGTTTGCTACATCTGACTGTCGGCAGGAAATGGCTCCGTTATCGTGATTATGGATGGGATCTCTTAACCACATGACCTGCCGGTGGATAATTCAGTCAGGCCTATGAAAAGCTCCCGTCCGGAATGATGCAGGGGTTGATAATGATAAGCATTTTACTGAGCTCTTGCGTGTGTACAGTCATATTAACTTAAAGACATGTCCACAAATAAAACTCGAAACGAATAAGTATAATGACAGATTTGTCTTAAAATGAATGATGACTAAAGGAGTAGGCGGCCGCCTATTGGCATTGTAAAAAGCACGAGTGGAAAATTAAGATAAGACGTCGAGCAAAGAGGGGAAATATCGCCTCGAATACTTTGCCAAAATGATGCGAAATATAAGTGATTTACGAGTTTTTAGGCAAACATGGCTGTCACTCATGGGAAGAAAATAAGGGTGTGGGACAGAACCGCACATGGAAAATTAGAGACCTTCATTGTCAATGAAAGTACGCAAATCAGAAGAGGTCAGTTGTAGCCAAATACGTGGTAAATGCGATCATAACATTTTCTGGCCGACAGGAGAAACGACCATCCAAGTGTGCATCGAGGGAACCAACAGTGATCTTTGATGGTTCCTTTCAATCTGAAATGAAGAGGGAATGTTAGATCCTTCATTGTTGAAGATGACATTAAAAGTGGTTAAACAACGAATTAGCAACATGGGGGTCGGTAGAATTTATTGAGGTTCTAAGCGAACAAGTGAATTGTGCGGCATCTGTCCATGGCCTTAGAGATCCCGTTCATAGACAAGATGAGCCGTTGTGAAAGATGGGTTGGACGGCCGCCTATTGGCGTCGTAAAAAGCACGATTGGGAAAGGAGGATATGAAGTTAAGTAAATAGCAAAAATAACTCTTAGAACAATTAGCAAAAACGATACAAAATAAACGTGATTTATGAGTCTTTTTAAAGCGACGAAGATTCTCCCATGCGAGCAAAATAGGTCTTTTTTGACAGGAACTCCCCGCTAATGATTCTAATCGTTCCTCTTCAAGGAAAATTCGCGAAGCCGAAGAGGTAATTTGCGACCACATGCACGGCCGATGCGACCATAATATATACTCACTAACGGCAGAAACAACCGTCCAGGTGCAAAACAGAGAGACCTACGGGCATTCTTAGCAGTTTCTTTAAGTTTGAAATGAGAAGGGGATGTTAAAGCGATCGAACGACAACATTTCAGGAGACGGCACAACTGAATTTAGGAGTCAATTAACAGCACCGGGGCTTGTTAGAATTAAGTGGGAGTTGACGGCTGAAAAATTGAATTACACTAGATGTACATGCGGCCTTGTTTTATCCTTTCAAATACAGATTACTCTTCTATGAGTTTTGTTTAATTATTCAGTCAGTATATTTGGAGTAAATTATCTAGGCCCTGGAAAACTCCATACTAACAACACAGTTCTGCATAAAAAGCAATCGATTAGCGAATTTATTAAGGCAATTTTTGAATATAAAATGCGCAAGGCAGATAGTATAACAGGGGGACCAAAAGTAAATTTATTCGATCATTTCAGTATCCAATCATGCTCTGCTAAAGGTGGACAAAAGGTGTCGTCAACGTTTCATGCCCAAAAATTAGGTTTTTACTCCGCGAATAGCTCTCTTTTGCGGTTTCGGAAAACAGTCGTAAAAATCAACACTAAGACTATTGAACATATCGGGATGCCCTTAATTTACATTTGATTGGTCTTTGTGGAAGAAGACTTTGTCTTGATGCATGTTGGTTAACTTGTTATAGTTACCGACACTAATAATAACTCTCGTGGTTTTAACAAGGCTCTATTGTCATATGCCGTCGAGATAATGTACCAACGATAACGTGAGCACTTTGCTAATTAATTGTGGCATTACAAAGCGACATTTCCAAATAATGAGAACATAAGCATCAGAATTTTATTTCCGCACCCTCCTAACAGTTGTCTCTGAGGTCTCAGGACAATTGAACTTCACGCTGACAGTTTCAAGACAGAATGCAACCGGACTGTCATTCTACTACTGCCAACTGAATGCAACATTGGGAGAGATCGTGACCTACGTGGTAGACTGGAGAGGTCTGTCTGTCAATTTTTAAATTCATTTGAAACTCCGCCCATTTGCAGCTGTATTTCGGCTTTTAATCCAGCGTATTTAGACATTATGACGGCGCAGATCTCGAATTCTCCTGTAGTAGGTATTATTGTTTTTGATAGTTTGATGTCGTCGGTAAATTATTCGCCTTAAGACCACGGACGAGTTAAAAGAGGATGTAAATGTGGAGATATCGCATAAGTAGAAGTGTTTAATGGTTGCTACTGACAAAGAATACTAGACTACATTAATTAAGGTGCCTGTATTATTCATGAATCCTTCGTTTAAACGCATCTCCGGACAATGTCTATGGAAGGGTTTTCCAGATAGTTAATCTTGTTTTTATATTTTGGCTGTGAGGCAAGCATGCGCCTGCACATAATGCCTGCGGTTTTTATATGCCGTTTTATATGGAAACATTGTGAGTTTCATCGACTTCGGCGTCCAGTGTGTATCATATGCTTTCTGTATGCTTAGATATGGAAACGGTTTCTAACTTACAAATCTAACGTACACAAATAACCACATACAACGGGCTTCAAGAACACATGAATGAAAAATGCTCCTATTATCGAGTTAAATATCTTACTAAAACGCAATTATTCATAATGTTGCACGCCAGTTGCGACTGTTTTGCGTTTTTAGCCCGAACAATGATATAATCCCCGAAAGCATATAAAATTAACGACAGATAGTTGAACATTTACGTAATATTTTAAGGAAGAGGCGGTATAATACAGCGCAAAGTGCGACTTTAAACCCCTTTAAAATATTGTCAGTAAACGGACGACATTTGTGGCCAGAAAGCATTTTTTCAGCCGTTATACGGTTGGTTTGGGTATACAGTGTTGTCATAGACAGTTACGTCCTGTTAGCAGATTAATGTTAAAGACCAATATTTAAGGTCACTTTGTTCGCCGATTCGAGTCAAACGACAAATAGTGTTTCTCATTTTTTTGCTATCCTTCACGATTGTTCACCTTCCTGAAGACGACTAGAAAATTTGTGCCTTTCACGTAGCACCTGCACGCCCGACTAAATTCTCGAAGAAATTCAAATTTTGCGTTTGAAAACAAGGACATTGTCATTAACACGAGGTCTTTCCTTTCACTTGCAAGATTCCAGTCCTCTACCGGCTGGAGGCATTCCACCAGTAATACTTCCAACTCCTCCAACGTTTCTGCCACTTCTGTCCTGCAATGAAGGGCGGGAACGCCGTGGTGCAACCTAAAATACAACATCAATCATGGCTCAAAATGGCCCCTTGGATCTTTTAATACCTGAAAATCTTTTCCAGGCTAGAGCACGAAAAAAAGTTTCCAATTTCGCTCAGAATGCCCCGGCATACGACACAACGCCGTCTTTTTTCCTGTAGTTTCTGCAGATGCTTCATCAGCATCCTTTTGTTTATTTGACAAATATGTTATATTCGTTTATGTTGAACGTTAAATTTTTCAAAAACACGAACTCGGGATCAAAATATTTCTGCGCCTTGATCTATGAACGTTTCTGTCACCACGGCAAACACCAACAGAACCAGATTCAAAGACGCACATGTGAATAAGATGAGAATAAATTTTTTCTTCTAATCAGAACAGAGTTGAGGCAGGAGTTCTATGTACTACTCGCTTCACTGACTATTTAACCTTTTAAAGATGTTTCGAGTTTGCAGCGAAAGATGCAGAAGACTGACTACACGATATCAAAACTTAGTGAGCGAAAGTACGACTCATTAGAAGTACGCTTTTATATACTTTTTCCGGGGACCATTGGCCGATTAACCGTTTTAATCCTTTCAAAAAGCCTCAGAAGACAGATATGAGAGCAAAGGAAAAAAGCCATCCTATGAGCGGGTTTTTCAGTCTACCCATCTTAGTTTATCAGAGATGAACAATCATTGGAGCATAGTGAAGTGGCATTGTACAATGAAATTCATTTTGATACATTATAACATTCAATTTAGGGGGAAGAAAGTGTGTAAGTCCTAACAGCGAAAGTTTCTTAGGGATTCGACAACTGACCAGTCACTGCCTCGGCCACTGCCATCACACGTTTGCGAAGGCCTTTAAAGTAGTGTCCTGACTCCCGGTAGATAATTCAAAGGCTTCTTTTGTGTCGATATGGTGGTTCGTATGGATCAGATGTGAGAGGACTGAATTTCAAATCGACCGATTTTCCCCTTTAACTACCCAGACAGGTAGGAGTTCGCATATACCCTTTTCTAGACGCCTCGCTGTGCGACCATGAGATGGGGTCTGCAACGACAGTCGTTCTTTGCCCTTAAATCATAGAAGTGGAGAATCTGCGAAGAATGCGCGCAGGTTTGCTGCGGGTAAAGTACTCGTGATAGCTGTCCTTAGACGTTGTCACGTAAATTTCCATGACGCGTCTTCCAGAAAAGTCAGTCTTAGAAATGAGTTCTTCTTTCCTGGCAATTGCAACGGCGGGTTATTTGGCACGCTCACTAATATTCTGGTTGAACAGTCTCTCCGTATAGCCGTTTTCGCGGAGCGTATTCTGAGGACCGGCGAAGACGGTTGACTTTGTCATGCGGGCGGCGTGGGAACGACTAGTGTGACTGACCGTTCCCCCTAATACACATGAACCCTGCCCATATCTCATGATTTCATTCTCCATGTAATGGTCGTGGAGTGATGATGAATTACCGAAAACATATGTTTGCCAATTCGCTTTTTTATTGGGGTGTATTGCCGACGGGGTACTGTCGTGGCTGCTTGTGTATTATTTTCAATCCTATAATTTGTAATGCCTCAACTCCGACGCTCTCCTGTCTTCCCCCTAATAAAACTAATAGGGGCCGTACTGGACAAAATTGTGATGCCCATCTCCATCCTTCGGTGAGAACAGATCTCTGCACGAGCTTGTAGACACAACTGCACTCATTTCTGTTTCGATAAAGTTTGTCCAAAAATATTCGACAATGGAATAATGGCAAAATCATATCCAACAGCCTTTACCATAAGAGAACGGGGCCAAGACATACGTAATATCGGATAGGTTTTATGTCGGGCAAGTTTAGTGAGTGGACATTTTTACAGCCACATTAACGTAATCAAACCGTCTAAATGTTCCGGTATTGCATTTTAAAGTCAAAATCTTAAGATGGAGTAATTTAAAAGCGCTTATTAATAATGACAAAAAAAGTAATCCTACGTCTTGCCTTTTTGTTGTTTTTGAGAATCTGTTGATTTCGCCTGAATTTATTCCTTCAAATTAGTAGTCAAAATCATAGTTTGGGTATACTGAGAATTGAATCAAAAGACATATTTGTTGCCATTGCATGAAATGTGGCATGACGCACTTTTTGGAGCAGTATTATTAAGTACTTGAATTTCACTGATCGGACGGTTGTTCGGGAAATCCTTCTTCCGATCCTAAATAAATCCTACTATCTATGTTGTTATTAACATTTCGCTTATGACAACTGCAGAACCTTTCTATTCTGTTTGTCTTTTATTCTCAGAAAACACGTCCTTTCGCGTGATCTATTTGGAGTGAAACTCTACTTTTGCCTTTACTTTACCGTCAACTCTATAGACCATCTTGGCGTACAATGTTTCTAGCCAACTGCTTGCATTTTCATACGGGTAAAGACCAGTTACAGAGAATGAGCCACAGGTTTTTTCTAAATATGGAACTTTCGGTCTGGGCGGCAGCCAGAGCGGGAAGACAGCGCACATCGCTAACATGCAAGAGGAAGACATATTTCTACGAAGGTTTTATCGAATGCTGAATCCGAAGTCACCACAGGCGTAGAAGCTATGTCTCTAGAAGGTATGGAAAAATTCAGTTCTCTAAGTCTTCTGCTTGTTGAGTTACTTAGGATGAATCTTCTGCTTTGGTGAGCATGCGTTCAATAACACAATTTCAGAACTCAGATTAGAGAAGTGAAAAACACTGTTGTCTCTCAACAAGAGTTTGGTGATTGTTTGAGACGTCAACACACCAGCCCTCATTTGCAGACAATGCCAAATATATCTCTCAAGTCCGTGATCATAGTATTGTCGTTTTGGCATGTACACCAGAGTTAATATCTTATTGACGTTCCGTAGACTTTTCTGAGTATGACTTAATCACTTGCCATGTGGTACTTTTGTTCTATTCATTAAAATATGGGAGTTACTTCAAGTCCATGGAAATCCATCTGCGCTCCGCCCAAGAGTTACTTCACACAGGCAACCAGATGCTGATTATCATTTCAAGGCACTTTTTGTGTATATCGGTAGATGTTCCCTGTACTAGCTGTCATTCGGCATGAAAATGTATGAGTTAAATTTTATTGGAAAATATATCCGCATTCAGTCATGTTTAGATATACTTTCTGAAAGAACACGCCCTGCTGACATTGAACATTATAAGAAGTAGATGCGATCGCTGGAATAAGAGCTTTATTCGTCAGGCGTTTCTACCACTGTCTATGATGATGGGTTCGAGCGAGAGTCCGAAATGTCAGACGAATAAAGCTTTTGTTCCGACGATCGCTTCTACTTCTTATCAACCACTTCCCGGAACTCGCATCTTCACTTGTATCGGCAAGTGATCATTATATTTCACAGTTCGTTCAAGATAGGAAAACAGTTTTAAAATGCTGGTACAAATCTGCCGCTGCATCCACCCAGCAAGACGTGGGTCATGCTGTGACGTCAGCTTGCAAGACGTCTTTATGTATGAAAGAACGGAGACACAACTTATGCTGGGAAGTCAGTTAAATGATTTAGTAACCACTCACACTTTTGTTCAGAAAAGATTTTTCTGCGCGGTAAAATTCATTTTGATGAGTGAAGCGGCTCTCCGAAGTACGACACGTAAATTTAGAACAACGGCTTTGTTGGCCGCGTAAGGTGCGCATCTAGTGAGTAAGATGCACGAACCGATACCGTTTACCGTGCCTTATGAAGATCCACGAGTTCTTTCTTCTGAACAACTTCATCGCTGAATGCAACTCATTTATGTTAGATTTACTTTAAGCAACGGTTTTTCCTAGGCGTCATCGTTCGATTGAAAACGAGGCTGTCGCAAATTTCAATCCATTACTCCGTGTCATTGTGAGGACTATTGCCGCTTGGGCACAGACAATCGGAAATTGTTATTATTTTATTCTTACTGAGCTTAAGCCAGCAATGCATGATTTAATAGGCTTGGAACACTCAGCATAGTACGCTGGGGACAAAGATACATTTTTTGTCAGTTTTTCGCATATTTTCTTCTTCGAGTATCAGCTGCATGAAAAGGGAAGTCAAGAGTCATCAGATGAAGATGTTTCAGTCAAACGTGCCTTTGTCCTACGACACTGGTTTAAATAACACTTGGCGACTGCTGGGACTGTAAGTCGAGTTGCAAAAGCCTGCAAGACAGCGCAGAAGGCATGCGAGCCATTTACGAAATGTGTAGGGCTTAGAAGATCAGAGGAATAGTACGATTGACGTTTCGGATGGCTGGGCCGGTTCTCCATTATCAGAGCGTATTGTGCAAAAAATCCACCAGATTCTTAAATAAACGGCCGAATTAGTTGCGCTTGAGTTGACATGCGAGTCATTCGAGGTCTATCGGAGACTTGATTCCATTAGCTTGGTTGCCAATATGCGCGTTTATTTATATTAGGGGTTCGCGATGAGATACTGGTTGAAAATCTGACAGGGTACGAGATAATGCCTCCTGTGAAGGCATCCATTAGATGTTAATACAGATTGATCTTAGAGTTTTTCCCTGTTTTTCGGAATACTTTATTGGCAGCCGGCGCAAGAAATATGATTTATCATAATAGGTTTCATTTAAACCTTCGTACATAAAGCTCGGCTTGTACGGTCCGCATGCCTATACGTCATCTCCAGGAAATTTGTGATCGACTACCGGTATTATGGAGATTCGGACTTGAGCCCTATTATCTCAACAGACCATCAGTCATTTTACAGCTCCTTTTTTCCTTTACCCTGCGACAATTTTAACGGCTGTTAAGGCAACGCATCATTTTCAGCGAGGACCTTGAAAAGGACACATCGTTTGCAGCAAAGGGTCCTTCATTAATGGTTTTAAAATTGATCTCCAGTAGCTGACTGTCTTTAAGACTGTTGGTAGGTGTTCTTTGAGCAACGTTTATGTATTTGTCTGTCTATCCCCGGCGGACAGCACCTTTCCTTATTTTATGTGCAATTCATGATATCCTGCTAGTCTCTTGATCACGCTGAAGATTCAGTCTTAACAGCAGGTGAT